TCCCTGATGGACCCCTTTCTTGATTTTGAACCATCCAGTGTCTCCCTGCTCTGTTCTGACGACTGCCTCCTGGTCCAGGTATAGGTTTCGCATTAGCACAATCAAATGTTCTGGGATTCCCATTCTTCTCAGAGTCAGCCATAGCTAGTTGTGATTCACACAGTCAAAAGCCTTTGCATAATCAATGAAGCACAGATAGGCATTCTTCTGGTATTCTCTGCTTTCTGCCAAAATCCATCTTACATTCGCTATAATATCCCTAGTACCACGACCTCTTCTAAATCCAGCCTGCACATCTGGCAGTTCTCTGTTGACTTATTGTTCCAGACGTTTTTGGATAATTTTCAGCAGAATCTTGCTTGCGTGTGATATCAATGATATTGTTCGATAATTTCCACACTCTGTTGGGTCACCTTTCTTTGGAATGGGAACAAATATCAATCTCTTCCAGTCAGTTGGCCAGCTGGCTGCCCTCCAGATTTCCTGGCACAACTTAGTGAGCACATCCAGGGCAGTGTTTGTTTGTTGAAATAAATCAATTGGTATGCAGTCAACTCCTGGAGCCTTGTTTTTTGCCAATTCCTTCATAGCAACTTGAACTTCCCTCCTTCATCACCATATATATATGATGTATAGCCTCTAAAAATCCAAAGGATTGTAAATTATGAGTCAATTTTGACTCAATGGCAACAAGTTGAGTTGAGATGTGGAAAAGGGGATATCATTGTTAATGCCAGATAGACTGACCCTAGTTGAGAAAGCTAATACTAGAAAGATGTTTACTTTTGTCTTTGAAAAGGCATTTGGTTCAAATCCACCAAATGCTTTGCTGGAGAAGGAGGGACAATCTCCTCCTATACCAGTCAGATCCAATTTGATGGTATGCACAAAAAAACCAATAAAAAATAAAATAAAAAAAAAAGAAAAAGCATTTGAAAATTATGGATCCATTGAATAGAATGGGAATTCCAGAATAATAAATTGTGCTCATGTGAAATCTGTGCATAGACGGGGGGAGGGAACAATTGTGTCGACTCCTGCTTATTAGGCATAATTAGATGAGGCCTGAGAAGAAGCCATCAAGTGTAGTAATGGTGACCTTTCCAAGAGAAGTGTGGATTGGTGGGAAAGTCTGAAAAATAATTTTATGAGAGAATGGGGAAGAGAGGAGCTAGGGAATTAATACACTACTTTTTGAAGACTTTTGTTGAAAAGGAGAGTAGGAATGTGGGACCAAGTCAACTCTTTCAGACTGGAGATGTCGGTATGCTGACAGGAATCACTCAGTAGAGAGGAAAATTGTTCTGTTTCAAATTAGACTTCCTTATTTTTAGTTTTCTTTAAAGACCAGTGCTTTGAAAGAGTGTTTCCCTGACAAATGGTAAGCAGTAATAAGAAAATGTTCTTTTCCCTTTCTTGGGGTCTCCCCTCATCTGTCAGTTTGTCATACTGTAGTGGCTTAGGAGTTACTGCAATTGTGGAAACCATGCCACAGGCACTTCAAATACCAGCAGTGTTACCGTGGTGGACAGGCTTTAGAGGCTCTTCCTGACTAATACAGACCAGGCGGGAAACAGGACTGGCCATCCGCTTTTGAAATAATGGGTCCTTGAAAACCATATAAAGAGCAGCAGAACATTATCTGATATAATGTTGGAATATGAGGCCCACAGGCTGGAAAAGACTCAAGATAAGAAGGGCTGCTTCCTCATAGCAGAGTCTACCTTGATGATGTGGATACAGTCAAGCTTTCAGCCCATCAAGGGCCTTCATGATGTGGCATGACAAAAAAAAATGAGGACTAACAGTTGCAAATAGCCATTATTAATTAGAATATGGAATGCATGAAATATGAATCTAAAAATGGGAAATTATGACAAATTAAATAGAATGCTTAAAGACTGACAGCCTAGGCATTAGTGAGCAAAAACGGACTGGTAATGGCCACTTTTAATTGGACAATCAGATGGTCTATAATGCCAACACTGATAAATTGAAGAGGGATGGTGTCACATTCATCGTAATAAGGGCATTTCAGAGATCTATCTTGAAATACAGTGCTGCCAGTGACAGGATATAATAGTCACACACGTACAAAGAAGACATGATAATACAATTGTTATTCAAATTTACCAATCTGCAGCTAAAGTAAAAGATTAAAATTTGAGGGTTTCAACTACCTTCTACAGTCTGAAATTGATGTAACAAAAATGTATTAATAATAGCTGGTGACTGGACTGCAAATGTTGGAAACAAAGTAGTGACCTGGGTGACAGAAATAAGGCTGGAGATTGCAAGTTAAAATTTGTATGGTTAATGACTTATTCGTTAAAAATACCCTTTTTTAACAATTAAACTATTTTTTTAAATGTAAAAAAAAATTAATTTAAAAACCAACATTCATGGAAACAGTACTCAAGAAATCAAAAGATGTATTGTATTGGTCAAATTTGTTGTCAAGGACTTCTTTAAAGTGCTGGAGAGGAGGGATGTCAGTTTAAAAGACTAAGATGTAGCTGACCCAAGTTATGGTATTTTCAATAGCTTCATATACATGTAAAAGTTGTACGATGAATAAGGAAGCCTGAAGAATTGATGCCCGTGAATGGTGGCACTGCTGAAGAATGCTGGATAGACCCAGGAAAAGCAAGAGCATGAACAAATCTGGATTTGAATGAGATGCAGCTAGAGTGCTTCTTAGAGATGAGGATGATGAAACTTTGCCGCACAAACTTTGAATATGTTGTCAGGAGGGGTCAGTTCCTGGAACAAGATATCGTTCCTAGGAAGGTGGTGGATCAAGGAAGGAAAAGGGGTGAGTGCTAAAACTGGTCGTACATGGTAGATACTGAGAGGATGGGACAGGGTTCAACTCTTTTGTGCTCAGGGTTGCTGGGGATTGGAGTCGGTACTGACCGAAGAGGAGTAACTGTGGGAAGAAGACAGAATAAGCCCTGGTTTGAAGTAATATCAGTGAAGGAAAAGACAAAGCCTTTTCACGACAAGGCCACGCTGTTTACATTCATCTGTCTCAGAATTGATTTTGCAGCCACAGATGGTCTCTCTCCCTCTTCTACCATGTCTGCTCTCTAACCTTTTCTCCATTCTCAACCCTGGTGACTCCAGGACCTCATGATCCATTTACAGGGATGTCTCAAGTTCACTTTACTTGCTCTTTGCTATTTTCTTTTCTCCTTTTTAGTACTTTTTAAATTAGTTTTAATGAACATTGACAGAGATTTTGGGTTGTCATTTATCCATTGTTTAGTTCGTTCTTCCATCCCCCCCCCACTTGAATGTCTGTTTTAATTGTCCAGTTGCCACAGGATTGTCAAAGCCAGTTCTGATTAATCTGCTCTTTGCTATTTTCAAGATATCAAAGAAGTTATATTGAAGGAACAGTGTCGTAAAATCAGACTTACCTAGAGTCAAATGCCAGTGTCTTTGGAAGAGATTTTTTAAACCCTCCAAGTCTATGTTTATATATCTGTAAAACAAGAAAAATTATGTCTACTTTATATAGGTTGTTGTGAAAATTCAATTATTATTATTATCATGACTAATCAGATGAAAATCTCAATCATAATGTTTCACTTCATACATGCTTTTCACCAAATATATTTCTTAGGCTCCTGTATTATTATCACGTGGTTGTTCTTTACACAAAGATTCCTACCTCGGATCACTAAATTCGTGTATCTCTAAAAATATTTAATCAGTAAAAATTACTAGTTTGAAAAGAGTCATTTGTCTTTCATACTAAGGAATTCCTCTCAACATAATCCAAGAACAAATCTGTGACCTGGGGAATCCCTGCCTGGCGGCACTGGTAAGTTCCCTTACTCTGAAAAGATCCTGGCTTAGCAAAACAAGGCTACAGCCAACGAACTCCTCAAGACTGCCTTCCCAGTATCATCCTACTCCCCAGAAACTCACCCCCATAGCATTTCTGGACTGGTATTCTCTGATCACCCATTTCCTGTCCCCCAGTTAGCATGCTAGCCTTTCTCTCTCTCTCTCTCTCCCTTTCCCTCTCCCTCTCCCTCTCTCTCTCCTTCTTTAAATGTCATTTTCTTATTAGAGCTAAATCTCAACTAATTAGCTCCTTTGATACCCAATTTCAGCTGAGTTACCACTGAACTATTGAGTCCTGGTTTAGTGTTGCAGCTGTTATTTCTCTTTGATTTTTTTTTCCACAGGAGGAAACTCTTATCTTTCCCTGGTCTCTCTCCAGAGGCATGTCCCTTCCTGGGTAAGCCAAGACAGAAGTGCTGGCTGAGCTGTCCCAGTCAGCAGGCTCTTCTGTCCAGGCTTGTCCTGATCTACTCCATCCTACAGCATCATCACCAAGACCAAAGCATCACAGAGTCAGTGACAAGTAGCAGCTGGAGCCCCCTGAGCCCTGGGCTCTACGTGGGTGGGAGAGAAAAGGGATACAAACTGTCTGGAGGGAAGAAGGTAGGTGGAATACAAAGAGTAGCCTTTAGTATTACAATACGCTACTGTCGTCTTAGAATTTTATATAGAAAGGGCCTGCAGCTAGCAGTCTTATTAGAAGAGAGAGAATGCTACTTTTGTATAGATCTTTGCTTATTATTGAGACTTTATCAGTAGTTGATATAAGAAATCTGGAACATGATGGAAATTTGGGGCGCTCCAATAGTCTAAGTAGCCTTCTGTTTGTTGCCTTTAGTGAGAATGTGGACATTATCTCACAAGTTCTTTCCTTTAATAGTTAGCAGGTCTAGTTTTGCAGGTTCAGAGTCATTTGAGTGGTAAAATAATTAAAACCCTGACTCTGAGCTGTGTTTTGGCCCTAAAACTTCATGCATGAGGCTTTTCCTTTTGTCAGTTTCTTTTGGAATTTGTACAAAATTAAAAAGGCAAATTAGACCACATGTGAGTTAAGAGATTGAATGAGCGAAAGAGGGAGGCCTGGGAACGCTCACCCTTTCTATAGTACAGGACTGGTCTCGATCTCCCAGCAGGACCACACAGCCATGGAAAGAGGAAACTACACCGGCGTCTCAGAGTTTATCCTCTTAGGACTCTCCAGCCAGCCAGAGAGGCAGGGGCTGATCTTCGGGATCTTCCTTGTGATGTACCTGATCGGAGCAGCAGGGAACGTGCTCATTGTCCTGGCCATTGGCTCAGACTCTCATCTGCACACACCCATGTACTTCTTCCTCAGCAGCCTCTCCCTGGTGGACTTCTGCTTCATCTCTGCCACCGTCCCCAAGATGCTCCTGAACATCCACACGCACACTCAGTCCATTTCCTACGGTGGGTGCCTTGCCCAGATCTACTTCTGCATTTTGCTGGCCAACATGGACAACTTCCTCCTCACAGCGATGGCGTACGACCGCTTTGTGGCCATCTGCCACCCGCTGCACTACTCTACTATGATGAGCCTCCAAACCTGTGCCCTGATGATAGGGGCTTCCTGGCTCATTGCCAACTTCCATTCCCTGCTCCACACCCTCCTCATGGCTCGGCTGGACTTCTGTGCCGGCAATGTCATGCCTTACTTCTTTTGTGACCTCGTTCCCCTACTCCACCTGTCCTGTTCCAATACTCAACTCAACCAACTCATGATTCTGGTGGTGGGAGGCTTGATCGTCCTCATTCCCTTCCTGGGCATTCTTATCTCCTACGTCCACATTGTGTCTGCTGTGCTCAAGGTTCCTTCTGCTCAAGGTAAACAAAAGGCCTTTTCCACCTGCGGCTCTCACCTCACAGTAGTTATTCTCTTCTATGGTACCATTACTGGGGTCTACTTGAGTCCCTCGTCCTCTCACTCAACTGAGAAGGATTCACTGGCTTCAGTGATGTATATGGTGGTGACACCGATGCTGAATCCATTCATCTATTGCCTGAGGAACAAGGACATGAAGGGAGCTCTAAGAAGACTGTTCAGCCTGAAAATCTAATTCCGCAGGCTGTGGCACAGCAGAGTTCCCCCTCAGGGTCACCGGGCTGGGAAGGGAATGGACCTCTGGTACAAACTCCATACACAGAAAGAACACAGATCCGATCGTAATGTGGCTATGAAATACTCTCACTTCTAAAGTCAAGAAATTTGCAAGTCTGAAATTTCCTGATGCCTGCACAGGATACTAGGAAGTGGAATGAACTCTCTCCTTATCTTAGAATGGATTCTCTAGGGAAACAAAACCAACGAGGTTTATGTATTCACATGTACACAGAGAGAAGAGGTATCAAGTCTCAAGCTTTTAGGTCAGAAATCAAGACAGATGATTCTCCTGACTCACATAATTAAAGGGACTGACAAAATCAAGATCTGAAGGAAGATGGCAGACTGCAGGCTTCCAAGACTGAGTGATAAATCTAAGACTGGCAGACAGTATAACCAACTGCTGGCTAAAGTTTGAAGAACCAAAAGTCATATGTTAACAAGGCAGATAAATACAGGATCGAGACTGAGCAAAAAGCAAGAGCTTTTCCAGTGGTCCGTATATGTTTGATGCAGACCACATCGCCAATGATACTCCCTTCCAACTGATTGCCTACTTAGAGTAGATTTCGTCTGAAAGTGATTACATCATATTTTAATTCACCAAGGAGATGACAATCTCATAAATGCCAAACTAGAGAATCATAGGTATGCAAGATGACACATAATTTTCTCCATCACATTCCTAAAGACAGAAACCATATAAAACAATGCAAACTGGCTTTGCCTAGAACTCTTTGGGGGAAGGTTGAAAATAATACATATTCCATGTTTATAAAAAAAAAACACCACAACAACCCTACGAGCCTGTGCCCTGTGCCAAAAAATATCTTCTAAGAACTTCCACATATCCTCATGATTCCTTAAATTCTTAACTATTGTGCTTCTCAATTCCATTACTCCTGCCTAGTTATTATCTCTGCTTCATCTCACTCCCCAGCTAGTATCCTCGCATTTTGGATTAAGTCTATCTTTAGGGATAGACTTGCTAGTACTCTTTGAAGCTGTCCACTATTAATTTTGGATCTACAGGACTCTACAGCTATGGGTACTCATATCACTCTACGCAATACCTATAGTGAATGTCTCACCATCTGCTCAATTGAACACTTAAGAAAGATCCATACTTTCCTACTTTTTGAATGCCTTGCTCTTTGGGGGAATGAAAGGTCTTTGACCCACATGAAAAAGAGAAAAAGGAGGCTGAATCTAGATTTTGTTTTATGGGGATGAAGAATAAGAAAGAAATGGACCATCATGATCTTTCTGCGTGTGCTCCTCTATGACTTAACTTGGAGAAGATGATTAAGTATAAGAAAGAGACTCATGAAAATGAGTTTATGCCTAGAGAAATCATATAATATTTTCTTCCCAACAGTCTGACAGAGGTATTTGCGAGGGGAGTAGAAGAGCATTATGTTAAAACTTTTTTTAACAGCTCACTCGCAGGTCAGACCCCTCCAGTACTAATCACATGACTCGACTCTGGTCAATCTGAAACCCACCATTCATTCATCAACACCATGTTTTTTTCTCAGCCCCTTTTCATGCTGTTCCATCAAGCACATCTTGCCTGTTTTGTGGTTTTTTTATTCTTAAAAATTCCATGTTATTTATTCATCAGTAAAGTGTAAATATTTGAAATCTTGCCCGTTTTTATTGAAATCAAGCTTATCCTTCAAAGCTCAGCTCATATATCATAACCTTCAGGAAGTTACACTCCAGTCTCAAAAGCCAAATAAATAGAAAGGTCTTCTCTTCCCACTAGAACTCTTTAGAACCTGAATTCTATTATGGTCATTTCCATATTATTTCATGGATTACTGCAAAGCTCTATCCCAAATGGGAATATTTGATGCTTTACATTTTATGAAAGTTTTTAATCTTTATAATGCAACATGCAAAATAATCTATGACATTTTTTGGGATAAAATACTCAATAAAAATATGCTGCTACAGATGATGATGGTGGTGGTGGTGGTGCCAGGTGCTGGAGAAAGAACACTGATGGTCTTTATTCTCACGGTTCTGAGTAGACCTCTTTTTTTAAAAAAAAACATTTGGGGCTGTTTATTTCTATTGGTTTTTATTCAACCACTCATATTCATTTTGTACTACAATATTAATTATAATTAATGCATTAATTATGAAATCTGATCAATGCTCTATTGTATATTGTCTTTCCCATCACCCAATTTAAGAAGAGTCTTTTTATTGGGATCTCTGGTGGCCAAGTTCATAGGCAGCTTCATAGATAACCCAAAAGCCACCTCTCTCTAGCCTTTGAACCTACCAGTGGCTCTGAAGGAGAAATATGGGCAATCTCTTCTTGTGTAATTTACAATCTTGGAAACCCACTGAATGGCCGTGAGTTGGTTTTGACTTGACAACAAAGAGTTTATCTATTAGCTTGGATCTATAATCCGTAGGCACTAGTAGTCAAGAAAGCAAAAGATGCATTGCATTAGGGAAATCTGCTGTCAAGGGCCTCTCTCCAAGGTGTTAAGGAGCAATGATGTCAGGTTTGTTTGTTGTTGTTTTTTTATCAGTTTAAAGACTGTGGCACATTTGATTTAGCCCACGATCTTTTTAGTTACTTGATGTATCTGAAAGCTGTACAATGACTAAGGATGACAGAAGAAGAATCAACACCTTTGAGTAGTAGTGTTGGAGAAGAGTACTGAAAATTCCACGAACTGACAAAATACAACCACAGTGCTCCTAGGAAGCAATGATGGTGAAGTTTATCTCACCTCTTTTGGGCATGTTGTTAGAAGGGGGCAGCCCTTGGAAAAGGACATCATGCTTGGGTTATGGAGGGTCAGCAAGAGAGAGAAGGATCCTCAATAAGATGGACACAGTAATCAGCAATGGACACAATATATAATAGATTATGAGAATGGCATAGGATAGGATAAAGTTCAGATTCGTCGTTTATAGGGCCGTTATGAGTCATAGTCAACTCTATGGCGCCTAACAACTTCTTCCTTTCCCTTGTAACCATTCAAAAATGATTCTGTGTGTAAATATTTTCTTACCTTTTTATAAGAATGGTTTCTTACAATAATTGTCCTTTTGTAACTGACTTCTGTCATTCAGCATCACTTCTTCTAGATTCATCTGTGTTTTACAGTGTATTAATTCTTTAGGGGAGTTCTGGTGGTACAGTCTACAGTGAGTCATCATACTACCTGACAGACCACTTTCTCTGACAAATGTGGAAACTTCAAATTCAAATCCACTAGTGCCTCCACAGGAGAAAGAAAAGTCATCTCCTCTCATCTAATTTATTGCTTTGAAAACCCAATGCACGGTCAGCTATGAATCTGTTCTCACTCAATGGCAGAGTTTTCTTATCTGAGGCTTCTTTTCTTTTCCTTTCATTAAAAGTTGGTGATTACTTTTCCCATCTCTTTGAAGAAAGATGATGAGACTTGAATTGAGACTGCATTCTATCTGTAGATTGCTTTTGATAGTTTGACATTTCACAATGTTAGGTCTTCCGATCCATGAACATGGTCTACTTTCTCATACATCGGTCTCTTTGGGTTTCTTGTAGTAGTAGTATTTTTCCTATAACCAACATAAATTTATTCTCTCAGGAGAATAAATAACCTCTAGGAAGTTAGAAATCTCAATTCAGATTATCAGTTTAAGGGAAAGGCTTTCTCCCTGTTAGCTCTGGTGGAAAGTTCTTTTCTCTTTTCAGCATCTATAGTCTTGACATCTCATAGAAACCTTCATGTCTTTGCATCAATCCTCCTCTAGAACTATGAGGTCTTTAGTGCAGGGACACAGGTCTAAAACCAAGTCACACGCTGGTGAAATCTAATCAGGCCCCATACATAAAACCCAGAATTGTTCAGTAAGCTTGTTGTTAGACTACGGTGAGGACCAAGAAAATCTTCTTCTCCTACTCTTCCTCCTCTTCCTCATTATTATTATTATAGAGGTATTTTATAGTTTTCTTTGCATGTGATTAAATTTAATTCCAAATATTTCATGTATTGGGGTGGCTACCATGGACTACCAAGCGAATAGGTCTGTCCTGGAGAGGGTGAAATCAGGCTGCTCTTTGAAGGCAAGGAATTTGAAGCTCCGTCTGACATACTTTGGGCATGTGGCCAAGAAAGACCAGTCCTTGAAGAAGGACATCATGCTTGGAAGCATAGAGAGACAGCACAGGAGAGGAAGACCCTGGATGAGATGGATTGGCATAGTAACTGGGGTAATGCAGGTAGGTGTATCAGAGACAATGAGACTGGCTCAGGATAGGACAGGGTTCAGAGCTATTGTACATTGGGTTGCTATGAATCACAGGTGACTTGATGGCACATAAAAACAACACTGCATATGATTGACACTGCTTTCCTTCTTTCCTTTTCAAAATTATCTTGGCTACTGTAGAAGAATCTGTGTATGCTGGTCTTGTACACTGCCACTTTGCTGAATCAATCATTTAGAACCAGTAGTTTTCTTGCCGAGTCTCTAGGATTTTCTAGATATAGAATCATATCATCTGCAAATAGGTATTTCTTCCTACTTTTTCCCTGTGATTCTCATTTCCATTAATCTTATCCTGTCCCTTCCTATGTTCTGGACTTCACCATTGGGAAAATGAAGTTATTTTCATCTTGTGTAGTTTATTATTTTAAGGAGTAATTCCCGGTGGTGGTGTTCACCATTTAGACCTATCTATTGTTTAAAAGGTGAGTTTTGTTCCAAAAGGTGACTAAGTGCCAGTCTTGAGTATTATACCAGTCTCTACTCAGCTGGTAGTTTGTATGTTTCAAGTTGTTCCACAATTTCCCCAACTCCCTCTGGGATCTTTTACAATGATCTCTTTCAGTGGTCTGCTGGGCACCATCTTGCTCTTTTGGTCTTGGGGTTATGGAAGTTGAAATTCATGGCACCACACTGTTTTATCTATGGGACTGTCATCACCTAGTCCCTTAA